CCATGTGGGGTTATTGTCTTGGAAGATTTTATGCCATTAGAGCTCTTAACATTTCTGGAAGGCATGTGGCTGCTAAATGGTAGAACAAAATGATGTTTCATTCATCTACGTCATATTGTCAAACAGACATTGAGATGTAGAGATGAGAATGTCCTTACATTTAAAAGTCTAAATATGGGGAATGCTGCAGTGCATATTCGTCTAATTAGTATAGTGTATAGTTAGTATGGTTAGTATTATTATAGTTGGAAATGGTGTATGGTGAATAGTTAGAATAGCTAGTTTAATGACTATAGTGTTAGCATAGTTAGCATAAATATGGTGCCATTTTTTTAAACTTATTCGTTTTTTTCACTCCGATTTTTTGAGCCTAGTCAGCTATATTTGTGACATTTTTACAGAAACATTTTTGCCGATTCGAATTTTTTACCTAATTTTTTTATCCAACTTTTAAAAATAAAGACAATTTATTTCTGATCTTATAGTGAGCTGATATATTGATATTTCCATACTTGCTCACTATGATCCATACGTACAATATATACGTACATAAAAATGAAGAGGACCCTAACAATATAATTTCTATACACCCTCCATACGTCACCCCTAATTTGACCATCCAAACAGGATACATTTGACCCCAAATTTTGGGAATGGTCTTAAAAAGATTCGATGAGCAACTTTAAAGAGAGAGAGAAAGAGAGAGAGAGAACTTTGAGCACACCTAATCCTATATCTAACAATAAGAAAACCATTATTGAGGGGTTTAAAAACAAATCATTAGTGTGTGATAGGATCAAAAGGTATATATATAATAGAAAGTTTATCAAAATACTCATAAAGATGAATTATTGAGCATTTTGCCCATTTGCAACTATTCCAACTTCCAACCCAAGACCATGTGTTTTTTATGAGTATTGTGAAATTTAAACTTTTGAGTAATTTAACAAAGGAAAAGTTCTGTTTGCATCACGAAACACAATACTACATTTGCACTACTGACGCATCACACTGTTGTATGTCATTTTTGACGTACCTCTATGAGCCCATGCGAATAAAGAGAAAGCCGGCGATAGTTTGGTCTTGCAGGTTCACGAAACACCCACAGGGTAGGATTGTGTCGAAAAATAAAGCCTCTAGACCTGGGTGCGGCGGTGCCCTTGCACCAAAGAAGGACCATTCACTGTAGCCCTAGGACAATGGCTGCAACAGGGCACCAGACCATCGCTTTTGTGGTCAAAATGTTGAAAAACCCCCGAGGACCAAATTTGGGCTCAATCGGACCCCTTTAGAAGGTCCTATGCTCATACGGCTTTGCAACTCATGGGTTTTACCTTAGCGGGATGCGGCTTCACCAAACCAGTCCCAAAAATGGGGAATGCAACAACGTTTTTTGGCATCAACTTCTCCAGTCCACGACGCCTTTCTCTGAAATTAGATAGAGCTCAAATGTTGACATGTTCTAGATCTCACCGACCCCATCATTTTGACCTAAGGCAATCACTGTGGCGTGACCAGGAACCCCCATTGCCCTGAACTGTAAAGCAGCCGAAGAAAGTAGGACCAAAAAAGGGTTCAACAGGCTCCAGATTCGATGAAGTATAGCTGAAAATCCAAGCCATGGATTAACATGAGGATGAGTTCAGAAGGATCACCTCATGCAGAGCTACATTCTGGTACGACTCTTGCAGTCAATCCCTTGTTCAATGGATGCAAGTTTTCAAGTCACCAAAGAAGCAAATCCAGTCGGTTGTCGGAATCCCTTTCTCCGGTAACCTTCCAAAGTAGCCGAAGGAACAAATTTGCACCAAATCGGGCCCAACTTGGTGTAAAATGATTGCAACGACCTCCTCTTTGACTTGCAAGCAGAGTCAGGAGCTAAAACGACGCAGCTCAGAGGTGCATTGGCAAACAAAGTTCACAAAACTGGTCGGACTTTCACCCTGGGGAAGAAGGCCTCCACAACACGATGGAAGGGCATCAAAATGCTCGCAATCGAAAGAAGACCGAAGATATGTTGCTCAATAAGCCGAACAGTTGCTGCAAGTTGCAAGACCAGCTTCCAAGGTCTTCCCAAGGCAGAGTAGCCTGCATGCAGGTACGGTCTTGTCATTCAAGTAAAAGATTGCAGGGGCATTTTTTTCATTTATGCCAAATTTTGAATTTGTTTTCATTTTCTTTAATTTTAATTAAGCTTGGATTTTGAGAATCCATTTGTTGAATCATCTCTATAAGCAAGCTTAGCTCATTTGTAAAAAGGGCCTGAAAAATCGCTCCAAAAGGTCCCCTTTTTGGAAGCTCCAATACCCCAAAGACTGGGAAGAATCGAGGCTAGTTTGTTCTTGTCCTACCTTATTTTGTGAGCCTCTAGTCCATTCGGGGGAGGAGAGAGGAAGAGAGATAAAACTTTGACAAAGAGGGTACCCCTGAGTGTGCGGTCCCGCAAACATCTTGGCGCGCGGGTCATCCCATTTCTCCCGAGCCGAGTCATTCCCTCTCTCTCTCTCTCTTTCTCTCTCTCCCTCTCTCTCCTCCTCCCACCTCCACGCGCGTAACCCTATCTGTGCGGAAGCCTTTACACGACCGCGAACCCACAGATGTGTGCTAACATGTAGACCTCTGCCCTCGACTTCTACCCACACTCGCTTTAGTGGCCAGCAAATGCTTTCAAACGGGGATCCAAGGAGGAGGGATATCAGGATCCCATCCAGATGGCACGGAGAGAGTGAAAGGAGAGAGAGAGAGAGAGAGGGAGAGAGAGAGAGAGATTGAGGACATGAGGAGGGCTCCCATCCAAACCGTGCTGACGAACAGCCGGAGGTCTTCGTAATTGCTCTAAGAGGGTCATCCGTCCGGATGCATCCCCGAACCCCCAAGCGGTGTAAGAGCGATTCGCGCTCTAGTTGCAAAAATCTCTCTCACCATCAGCTTCCTATCTGCTAGCAAGAGGGCCCATGCATCCACCGTGCACCGGACCTCCAACGTTGTTCAAGAGACGGTTTCCTCACCCCTGTACGGAGGGAAACCACGTCCCCACTGACATCAACTAGTGACTCCCCTGGGGACACGTCACATGATCGTTGGCTCGAGCCCTCTCCAGATACCAATCTCCCTTTCTCCTCTTTCCACTTTTGCTATGGGATCCGCTTATCCCCCTTTCCTCCGGATTGGGGAGTTCTACATCCCCATACTCGTGGCTACTCATGGAGAGGCTCCACCATTGGGTCCTCCCTCCCGTCCATGCCCTCTATGCAGCCATGCTGTCCTAGACATCTCGGCCTCGGTTGAGGAGGTTCGGGGCACGAGCCCTTAGGCCCCTCACCCTGCCTCTTCCAGCATCAGGGGAAGACCCCTCTATGCCCACTGCACGGGCAACTCTGCTGTCGCCCCCTCACTAAAGGATCCTGTTGCTGATGGGCACACCGCTAGCCACAGGCAAAACCCGTGCCGTCACTCCTCCTCACTCGGTCGGTCCTAATAAGATTGCCGTCATTGTGGACAACTGAAAGGCAACCTCGTTCGCATCACACAGGGGGCATCACCAACACTGGCACCCCCGCGCACAAACCACGCACTGGCAATTACCATGTCAGCTCGCGTGGTTACTCCACCATGCATACCTATGTCTACAAACTTCCTAGTGAACCAACAGCCATAATAATGAATCGGGGCAGGATGCAGCCTACCCCGGTCCCTCAAAAAGCTTTAGGTCATTTTCGATTAGGGTGTAGTGGCTCTGACGTCGCCGGCACCCTGCATGTCAGCCCACGGCTCAGGACAGCCCAAAGGCTGGCCCCCAACCGACACGTGACTTCCGAGACAATTGGAAGTCCCCCAAGCAAGCGTACATGCACTCGGGGGGGCTAGATGGCCTCACCAGCTAAATGGGCGGACGACACATGCACTCCATCCCCCACCACACAAGGGACTGGCCCCACGGCCGCCCTATATATTACTATGGGTCATGCACACATATCCAGATCCAAAGAAATCCTCGACTGCAGAAAGGATCGAGCTGGTGGGCATCCACCTCCACTCACGACTCAGAGGGGATGAAGACCCTGCACATCCCCACCTCTCTACCTAAAAGCAAGGCGGCGCCGACGACCATAAAAGAGCCAACCACTGACTTGAAAGTTTTACAAATCCCGACCTCATTGAAGGGTGGAATGGCTTTTCGACCCTCCGGGACAACAGTCCTCCAAATCACCTCAAGATTCTGCAGATATCTAAGGTGCTGCACGTCAAACGGGAAAAAGCGACCAATGCCGGCTCATTATGTTGCATCAGCAAGGACCGGGCAAGATCTTATAGATCCTTAAGGTCTTGTCCCTCACCACTTCAGGGAAGGAAGGAGGCGAGGCCAAACTCACAGCATCGGACCTCCTGGCTACCGTATCAGGGGTTTGGTCTGGCCATCCGGAAATGGAGAGTGATACAGTCTCCTTGGGCTGACCCCTTAGTGCTTGTCGGTAGGGACCCGATGCCCACGGCAAAGAAACAAGATCTGATTTTGTTTGACCAAGCCAAAGTAATGGGGGAAGAAGGGGCAAGAACGAAGGATGATGTTCCCCTGAAAGCTACTCCCTCCCCATTACCTGGCTTCATCTCAGAATCCCGCGAGATGCCTAAACAGACAAGCACGTGGAGCGACCCCTCATTGAAAGCTGTGACCTTGCCCACGTGGGATTTGTAAGGGCATATAGCCCATCAAATTATGAAGAAAATGGACTACGAGCCGTCCACCAATCAAGGCCTGAACGACGGTAAAGGGATGCTAGTTCCCTTTACCGTAGTAGAGGCCGTGTCAGCTCGACATCGCAAAAGGGAGGGCCTTGGTTACTCGGGGTAGCCAGGGCCACCACGGCCACCCCAACCTTTCGACATCCGGCCTAGTCAGGATTCCTTGGAAACAACGGGAAGGCAAGACTCAATATCAAAGATCAAAAAGGAAAAAAGAATCTCGCCATCATAAACAGGATAAGGAAGAGGGTCCACTTTATTCACATGTGCAAGAGGTTACAAAATCCCAGCAAATGGGTCATCAAGGGCCATACAAATAAAAGGATGGAGAAAGACTGTAAAAAACGATAGAGAGCCTCGTGCATCTTTTGTCTCAACTCCAGTGCCGCCTCTAACATTGCCTGCCTCTGCTGCTTATCGAGAGAGACACTTTTCACCATCCGCTCAGACGAGCTAAGGAGCTGCACCATCTCCAAACTTATGCGCGCCAATTTGAGAAACATCAAAGCCATCGCCTCTCTATGTCGATGACGGTGAGCTCTCTGATCGACCGCGTGAGCTTGCAATGAGGCAATCTTGCTCTCTATGTCCGCTAATTGGTAGGCGAGTTCGATCTCCTCCTCGATCAATTAAGCATCTCTAGCAGCAAGTTGCTCCCTCTCCTCCTCATACTCTCGAAGAAAAGATCGCTTCTTCACCAGCCTCTCTTGTAGGGAAGCTATGCCCGCGTCAAGGACCTTCGACATGGCGATCTTATTGAAGATGGCTGCTGAGCCCCAGTCTGCGAAATCCCTGAGTAACTTCTTCAGCTGCTCAAAGATCCCCTCTCGGGGGTGCACAACCTCGAGGCCGGCTGCGCAGGTTTTGACAACCTCAAGCTCCCTGTTGAGGTCAGAAAGGGGACACTCGCACAGTACCTGGAGGCCCACCCGAACCATGCGCTCCACGGTCGACTCTTCAGAATTCGGCGATGAAGGAGCCAAGGCAAGGGGACCCGCAGATGCAGAAGGCTGAGTGTCAGACGTCGCCTCTACATCTACAAGGGATAGAGACATAAAAAGGCCTACATGGCCCTTGGACAAGGACTCCTCCGCGTCGCCCCTTGATGAAAATGCTCCAAAGCCAGGAGGCACTTGTGGTGCCGCCAGGGGAGCTGACAAGGTCGGTGAATCCTCCGCCTTCATGCCCTTTGCTGCACAGAAAACAAAAAAAAAAAAAAAACGAGGGAAGAAACTAAGTGGGTCAGATCAAAACGACGCGCCAGCCACATGACCTAGGCCCATGCAACCACTCATTACCTGGTGGAGAAGGAGGCAGACTCCTACTGGCCATTGCCCTGCTCAAAAGTGCTGCTTCAGGATGAGGAGAATGCCGAGAAGGAGGCCTAAGAAAAAGGCACAAAAGGTGCTTTCTCTTACTTGGGATCCAGACCATGGGTAGGAACAAAAGCAGACACCCCTCCTTTTTTTACAGCAAGAGGCCCAATCAACTGGCAAGCCCCCCCCCCCCGCTCAATCACATAAGAGCGTCGGCAGTATGCGAAGCGAAGCATCAGAGGCTAGGCACCGAGGCGCCGCCAGCGTGCAAATCGAAGCGTCGCACAAGCCAACACCATGTGCCTCAAAGGTACGGTCGTACGAGCAACATGCCACACGTGCGGAAGATTACGCTCAGTCCCGAGGAAGCACTAAGGACACGTAATCAAACAATCATACGACGTCGACGCCGTCTCTCCCTCTCGGCATTAACTGTTGCATGTATGACGTGGCCTGCTAAGAAAGGCATGCATGTTGTCATCCAAACGCCGCCCAGCTCATGCATGCAGGCCAACTCCACTGGCCAGCCTACAGCAAGGGCCCACTCAGAGCGCTCGAGGCATGCCCCTATACCACTCTCCTTTATGGGCAAGTGAACCTCGTTCCTTGTCTCGCCCACGTGCGGGACGCTCTGCGGTCCCCCAAAAAAAAAAAAAAGCGGGGTCTTGCGAAAATCGACAACGACACATTCCTCTAAGGTTGGGATGAACATCTGCAAGGGCATCCCAACCATCACCACACAACAAGCAACAACTACCCCATGGGCAGAACTGACACTCCATCATCCATTCCTTATCCCCATCATCGGCAGGGATAAGGACTGTGTCGGCCCACAAAAAGAAGGAGAGCGAGCACATGGCGACATAAGGTAAAGAAGGAGAATTCAATGCAAAAATGGATTTCATTTCATGAGCAAAAAGGATTACATGTTTTTTACAATGCACTTTGTGACACAAAAATATGTACATCCATTCAGAAGTGGATCCCTTCCCTTTAAGAGGTTGCCTCCATCTCTTCAAGTAAGAATTGAAGAGGACATTGAGAGCCTCCTCATTCAACTCATCCTCCAATGAGGATGACAGGCCCCCAGCGCCTCATACACAGCCGTGGGCCTCACGTCATGGGTCCCGCACAAATAGAGGAGCTCTGAAGCAACAAGCTCACCCTTTGTCACGGGTCCATCGTCACCTCTGCAAGGGCAAATGTCTTCACAAGGATTCCCAATGCTCACGTGCACCCCAAAGGTCGGTGTCAAGCAGTTCGTCCCTCGCAGCAGGCATCACTCAACGGCCAAGCTCTTCAAAGAAAATGAAATCTCCGCACTGCCTCCACACAAAGAAGCATCAAAAAATGGTACTTCATCACAAAGGGGAAAAGTTGCCCTCATGCTCTCCTGCCTAGCCCCCTTTTAAAAGGCCTAAGCCCATCAAAGCTTGTTGCTTCTTGAGCACCTTACTACCCATTTGCTCAGCCATGTGTCACCACAACGGTGCCTTGTTGACTGTGACATTTAAACCGTCTCACGCCTCACCTACCAGGTGTTATTCACGAAGCGTCGCGGTCAAATCTCGCATCGCCACTCTACCGGCCTGACGCTATCAACAGATCACTCGAGCGGATCTTGCGCCAAGGCCCCATCGCCATGTGGCATTCTCCATTTGACCTTGCCCAGCATGCAGACGCCTCGTCAGCCGAACACCGCCTCTACAAACATTGCCCCCTGCGGTGAATGTTGCCACTTTGCCCCCTGCACCTCCCCCCCCCCGCTCGCGCCTCCTCCCNCCGCGCTCTCGCTCCCGCCTCGCTCGCTCTCTCTCTCTCTCGCGCTCGCTCGCTCGCCTCG